GGGGGCAGATAAGAGGGAGTCAGAGCTGTCTGAGAGGCTCCTGGGCCTCCTGCTGGCTGGCTTTCATCCAGTTCTCGTCTATCGATCTATCCTTATGCCTCTACCACGTTTTTTCCTGATCAGTGTCATTTTGTAGTAAGTATTGGAACCCGGAGATGTGCATCCTCTAACTTCATTCTCTTTCAAGATTGTTTTGGCTATTCTGGGTCTCTACATTTCCACCTAGATTTTTGGACCTGCCACAACAAAAGAAGGCAGCTGGAACGTTGAATCTGTCAGGCGGTTTGGAAGTATTACCATCTTAACAATATGAAGTCTTCAAACCAATGAACACGGGCTGTGTTCCCAATTTTTCAGTCCTTCTTTGACTAAAGAAGAGTTTGTGAAGGATTAGTGTCTTTATTCAGTGAGTCCAACACCTGGGCTTCTTCAGGGCCACTTTCAATGTTTTCAGTGTATATATTATACTCCTTTTGTAAAACTTCCTATTTCATTCTTTTGATACAATTGCAAATGAAATATTCTTTTTTAAAAAAAAATATTTTATTGGTTTTTTACAGAGAGGAAGGGAGAGGGGTAGAGAGCTAGAAACATCGATGAGAGAGAAACATTGATCAACTGCCTCCTGCACACCCCACACTGGGGATGTGCCTGCAACCAAGGCACATGCCCCTGACCGGAATCGAACCCGGGACCCTTGAGTCCGCAGGCTGACGCTCTATCCACTGAGCCAAACCAGTAAGGCTAAATGAAATATTCTTAATTTTATTTTTAAATTATTAATTGCTAACATATAAAAATGTTGACCTTTTATATTGATTTATATATTGATCTTATATCTGCACTTACTGAACTCATTTATTAGCTACATTATTTTTTCTGGGTTACTCAGAATTTTCTATTTTCAGGATCATGCCATCTGCAAATAGAGGCAGTATTATTTGCTCCTCTTCAAGCTGGATGGCTTTTATTTCTGTTTGTGTGTGTGAGTTGCCCTGGCTAGAACCTCCTGTAAATCACTGAATAGAAATGGTAGGAAGGGACATCCTTGCCAGGTTCTTTATATTGGGGGGAAGCTCTCAGTCTTTCATAATTAAGTATAATGTTAAATGTTGGTGGAGTTTTGTGGATGCCATTTTTCAGGTTGAAAAACTTTCCTTTTATTTCTAGTTGGCTGAGTTTATTATTTTAATCATATAGGGGTGTTGGATTTTATGAACTGTCTTTTCTGCACATATTGAGATGATCATGTAGTTTTGTCCTTTATTATAATGTGATATAGTGTATTACATTAATCAACTTTTTTTGTATGTTCAACCAACCTTGCATTTCTAGGATAAATCTCTCTTGGCCATAGTGTATAGTCTTTTTTATATACTGCTAGGCTTGGTTTCTTAGGGACTTTTGAGTCTATATTCGTGAGAGATATTTGTCTGTAGTTTTTTTTTGTGGTGTCTGTCTGATTTTGGTGCCAGCGAGTGTGTAACTCACAGAATGGATTAGAGAGTGTTCCCTTATATCTTTTTGTGAAGAGTTTGTGAAGGGTTATTGTCTCTATTCAGTAAGTCCAGCATCTGGGCTTCTTCAGGGCCACTTTCTATGGACTACTTTTCTTTCTGTATATCAGCGGTTCTCAACCTGTGGGTCGCAACCCCTTTGGGGGTCGAATGACCCTTTCACAGGGGTCCCCTAAGACCATCAGAAAATATATGTATAATTACATACTGTTTTTGTGATTAATCACTATGCTTTAATTATGTTCGATTTCTAACAATGAAAATACATCCTGCATATCAGATATTTACATTACGATTCGTAACAGTAGCAAAATTACAGTGATGAAGTAGCAACGAAAATAATTTTATGGTTGGGGGTCACCACAACATGAGGAACTGTATTAAAGGTCACGGCATCAGGAAGGTTGAGAACCACTGCTGTATATAGAACATACTTTCTTATTTTTTTTGCATGACTCATAATTTTTTGTTAAAAGTGGACATTTAACGTAACATCAGTGGCAACCCTAGAAATCTGATTGTTCCTCATTCCTGAGTTGATTGTTTTAGTAATTTTTTGTTGTTGCTACTATTTATTTGTTTATAAACTTTCTTGAATGAATTCTATAAAGTCTGTATTCTTTGCCATGTGTCCACTTAGTTTAGTGGTCAGCTAATAACTAGGCAGAGATTTTCTTACATATGTAAAACAAATAGTTTTCCCAGCCTTTGCCAGAGAGTTTGTGTGCATGTCGGGGTATGCTTTCAGCACCCAACCTGGATATTTCTGTCCTAGTTCTCACTTTCTGTTTATGCAGAGCCTCCAGGGGAGCCAGAGGTGAGAGGTGAGGACCTTTTCAGGTCTTTTCTAAGCGTGTGCACAGCCCTGGATATCACGTGGCTTCGATATTCCCAGGACTCTGTCAGAGCTTCTCAAAATGCTCTAGGAATGTCTCATTCTCCAGCTTTTCCGTTAAGTGCCTTGATTAGTCCATCGTGGGCCCCAGCAGTTATTGCTGCCTCAGACAGCTGCAATGTTAAACAATTGGCACTGATTGTTTACGACAAATGTCTCTGGGGAAAAGGCTGCTCTTGCAAGTGGAGTCTCCCAGGGAACTCCAGGAAGAGGAAAATAGCGACAATTGTATGAGGAATGGGGTTTAAAGAGCTCCAATCCTATTCTGCTAGAGGCCCAGACACCTGTTATCTCTCTGTATCTTAAACTCTGCATTTTTTTAAACTTACTTCAAATGGGGGAAATTTTCCCTCTTTTTAGTTCAAAAATTTAACCCTTATTTTAGGATCATAAGTAAAAGTATGATTCCTGACCACTTTCCCAGGGTCTACTAAGAAGAGGCTTGTCTATATATGTGATGTGTATGTGTGTGCACGTGAGTTTGGCATTGCCCTTAGATCTACTTGAAAGTAACATACCGTCCCAATCTCCTTAAGGCTTTAGTCCCTCTCATTTCTCATCATATATGCCTCAGGGGAGGTTCCACAGCCCCCAGCTCAGGCACTGAGTGTGTGACCCAGGCTTGAGCCAGTTAGCACATCAAACCACCCTGGCCACAGTCATTGGCAGCGGATGGGCATGAGCCATAATCAGAAATGAGATATTTTCCAGGGACACTTCCATGGAAGCAGATGCTCTTCCCATGCTGGGCTGGAACTTAGGGGGCTGAAAGGTCTACAGCAGCATCCACCAGCTTGTTGACATGAAGTTGAGTCTGTTTTGGAATAGCACCTATCCAGAGGAGAGATGATAGATGATAGATAGATAGATAATAGATAGATAGAAAGAAATATAAAGACTAAATGGAGGGGGAGAGAATAAGTAGAGGGAGAAACCAGGTCCTAATAATATCACTTGAACCCCTGTACTCAGGCATAACCGAAACCCTAGATTTTTTTCCTTAGGTGAGCTATAAATTCTTTTTGATTAAACAAATTTGGGTTGGAACTAGTTTATACTGTAACTTCCGCACAACGTGCAACTGCAGAGTCCTGAACAAGCAAAGCTAGACAGAACAGCAGCACTTGAAAATTCTTTGAGAAGTGACTGTAATTGAACCAAAGATCCACTTACAGGCCACCACATCATGTCCCCTCCGGCGAGGAAGTAGCCTTTCACGGTGTCTCTTTTGGTCTTCACTGTGGACTGAAACAAAGAAGGTGGGTGAGGGAAAAGAACAAACAGAGGCATCCCTAGGCTGCAGACGATAAAGTGAGAGTCCACTGGGCCAGATTTAAACACCAAATAGATTTTGTTTGACCCGTGGTTATAAAGAAGATTTTAATTTGAATACTTTTAGCGGAGACACACTCTTTAGGTCAACACAGCCCCTACTAGTCCCTGCTTCATACATTGATAATAACCTACTTGACCCCTAGGCATTTGAGTTTTACACTCATGGCTTATCTATAATAGCTCCTAATGTGTATCATTTATTCTGTGTTAGCACTTGTATAGTGTCTGACACTATGCTAAGCATTTCAAAGCATTATCTCATTTTAATTCTTATTAACTCCCATGAGGTTGGGAGTTGGTGAGGCTCAGAATTAAAGCCACTTATCTGGTGACATTTCCAGATAGCAGAAGGGACAGGAATTCAAGCCTAGCTCAGCTTGATGTTGGAGTCCAGGTTTTTAGCTGGTCCACAAAACCATCTTTAGAAGTAAGCTCCCTGGCATTGAAGGCATTTTAATACAGACATTTTGACCACTGAGTGGTTTGTGTGATATTGAATAAGTTGTTCAACTTCTCTGAGCTTCTGGGTGTGAATGTTGGTGAGAGGATTCTTACTGGATGGAACTGGAATTACAACTAAATTACAGAATAATCTGAAGACTAGCTGAAGAGGAGTCTTATAACCAAGGATTTACAGAAAAAGCCACATCACGAGGAATAGGAAGGGTGGAGACAAGAAAAGGGCTGACCCCACAACCAGAGATGGTGGCTGAGGTTCTCAGCTGCAGGGGGTTCTCTCTGAGCAAAGAGCCAGGAAGAGGCGCCCACAGAACATCTGACTGTGAAAAGCAGGAGGATTTCTGTCTGTCAGGGAGGGACGAGAGTCCACTAGAGACAGAAGCACCCTCTTAAAGGGCCAGTGCACAAAATTTCATCTGCAGTCACTCACCTTGGGCTCCAGCAAAGGGACAGTGGAATGGACTAGAGTCACATGAGGAGAGTCTGAGGTTTGTGGCTCTGGGAGAGAGCTGAAGGGCCAGCCGGCAGAATCCCTGTGCTGAGTCCCTCTCCCATGCTGCACAACACCGCCTTTCCTGGGTGGAGCATTCCTTCCCAAAGGACATCAGTCCTGGGGAATGCAAAAGCTCACCCTCTAGTCTTCCTGTCCTGCACCCTGTGGAGCTGGGCCCTGCTGAGGAGTCAGCTGCTTTGGCCAGAACGTAGAGGTCAGGTGTCAGTGACCACGCTGTGTGGCTTTGAGGTGGAGCCCACACCCCCCAACTTCCCCCAAAGCCTGACCAGCACTTGCCCTTCATGGAGATTCACTAGCCCCATCCGCCCAGCTCCCGGCAGCCCCACCTTACTGGGCTCGGTCTCCTCCCAGCAGAATCTGGGACAGACTGAGAGAAATATTGATGTGAGAGAAACACATTGATTGGTTGCCTCCTGCACGGCCCTAAGCAGGGTCTGGGCTGGGAGGAGCCCGCAATCAAGGTACTGCCCTTGACCGGAATCGAACCCGGGACCCTTCGGTCCGCAGGCCAAGGCTCTATCCACTGAGCCAAACCAAGAGCATGGGCTTCAAAGTGCAGGAGACATGGATGTTAACCCCTGCTCCCCTAACTTCCCAACAGAATGAGAAAGTGAAATTCTCTGAGCCTCAGTTTTCGTATCTATGAAATGGGCATGGTGACAGTCTCTTCTTCATAAGGACCCGTGCCTATTACATGAGATTGCATAAGAGAAAGAGCCTACCTAACTCGGCACCTGACCCAGGGCCAACCGTCAGTGCATTTTTTAAAATTTAAAGTTTTTTTTTTTTTTTTTAATGCAGGAGACATGGATTTTAACCCCTGCTCCCCTAACTTCCCAACAGAATGAGAAAGTGAAATTCTCTGAGCCTCAGTTTTCGTATCTATGAAATGGGCATGGTGACCGTCTCTTCTTCATAAGGACCCGTGCCTATTACATGAGATTGCATAAGAGAAAGTGCCTACCTAACTCGGCACCTGACCCGGGGCCAACGGTCAGTGCATTTTTTAAAATTTAAAGTTTTGAATTTAGTTTCTTCCCCTCTGCCGCCCCCTGGCCTGGCTTACCCACAGTCCCACGGCCAGGACGAAGAGGAAGTACAGGGCCAGCACCGCGATGTCACCTGCCTCCAGGCTCCTCTGGGGAAAGGCCTCCAGGGGGTCCGGCGGTGTGGGCCTCGGGCTGCCGGGGCCGCTCTCCATGGTGCTGAACACACTTTGCATCCTGTGGTAGGTCACATGTGCGTCAGATGCAGAGCCCAGCACCCCCCCCTCGCCCTCCC